CGTACAGTATAGTTAAGTATAACATGACATTAAACTCACCAATGTCATGTCTTTCACAGCTGCAATGAAGAAGAAGCTGATTTTTTCACCAATTGCATGTGGACCTTGAACCTTCACAGAAGAACATTACTCAGGGTTGTCTAGTGGAAGTAAACACCCCACCTACCTGATGTATGTGAACAAGCCCTGCTGCTGGCCAGTGCTTGGTGTATCAAAAGACTGTGCTCAGTTCTTTCATTTCATCAAAGGCCCTGCTTTTGTATTAGAGATCTTCTAAATACTTCTGTTTGAAGTGACAAAAACAAGCACTAAATAAATAAATGCATGTTTGTATTTTTTGTAAGAAAGACCAATAAATGGCCTGCAATGTAATGACTTTTGGTGCATGTGTGGTATGTGTGTCAACCGGCAAAATCTACAGCTAATTTCTTCTCCAGGTCTGTGTTCTCTGAGGATCTGACTCTGTCAGCCTCCAATCATGGATCTATGAAGCAACCAACCAAAATATTATCTACCTTTATATGAGCTGCAAGTATGACTTATGTTAAATTTGAAAGGGACAGTGAGAAAAAATAAAATGTGTAAATAAATAGTCTTAATTGACATCATAAGCTACTCAAAGTGATAGAAATCACCGCAAAATCTAATTATATTTGTGGATAGTAACTAACAGCCTACAATGATTTTTATGAAGTATAACTATTATAAAGTATTTTAGTAGGTACAGTACAGTGTTGTAGCAGCTTTATGGCTTTTGTTGTTGCTGATGAGCGGTGGGAGGAGAAACTGGAGCGAGAGGAGGAGGAGGAGGGCGGGAGGAGACGAGAGCGACCAGCCGCTGACGAAGATCGAGCTCCAAGCGCGTTGTTCCCTGAAGTGCTTTGAAATCCATGTAGGAACAAAAGATCGTATTTTGAAGCGGAACTAATTATTTACCACGAAGCATTATGTGTACGCCGTGTTGTTTCTCGCAGGTAAGCACGACGAGGACTTTTGTTTGTTATCTGTCGACAATTTGGCGTACGATTGGTCACAATGTAACACGATGGAGCCTGCGCTGCTAGGTCACGCCACTGTACTGTTTACTTTCTATCGGTGAATCGGTAGTTTCCATAAAATGATCTTCTTCACTCTTTATTACACGGTTGTGTCATGATAGAGGCAAAAAACTCATCATATTTGGCATTAGTTCTTTTATAAAGCTTTTTGTTCTTTTACTGGGTTTCCATGTGACTTGTTATGGACCTCTGCTTAACAATCTTTTCTTTGTTACTTTATTTTTTACAAACTGGGAGAAATTCAATCACCAGCCTTATTTCCATTCTCAGGAATAGCATATAGGTTAATTGGTTCCTTATACAGCAAGCCAATGGAAAAAGCATAAAAATGGTCAGCTGTTTGAAGCCGTTCTCTGACTGACTGTAAACCAGCAATTACAAAGCCTGCAATTTAACTTAGGAGAGAAACACCACATCAGAGACTGCTAAATGTCTACTCCCAACTTTTTTTGTTGAAACGAAGAAGTCCAGTCATTACAATTTGGCCAAATATGACCTCTACTATTGTATGTCTGTGCTGCTAAATGTAGTTTGCATTTGGTGGCCTTTTATTATTTAACTAGGCTTAAAGTAGGCTGCCAACATTCTGAATTATTAAAGCATCAACCATTGCACTACATCTTACAGTATGAATCTTTTATGTCAACTTCCCAAGATCTTAAGATCTCTTTTTTTTACAGATTAACTAGTCTTAAAAGTTAAAGGTCCTATATTGTACAAAATGGATTCTTGTTTGTTAAGACATGGGATTATGCTCTAACCATGAAAAACATACCTAGAATCATTGTTTTGTTTCATTCACACAGGTTAGTTTATTACTCTGTCTGCATCTCCAAAGCTCAAAATGCTCGGTTCCACCTTGCGATGTCACGTAGTGGTAGTTTTCAAGTTAACAGCTACCTTTCACTTGTAGTTCAGTAGAGACTGGCAGTTCCAGAGCTGAAATCATCCAGGTGATTCTAGTGAATGTGTGTGAAGTTTAAAAACATGCTGGAGCACTTCCTGTATTACCACATGACATCACAAGATGGAACAGAGTATTTTCTGTTTGAAAGAAGAACTCAGTCTAAATATGCAGGATTTGTGTGTTAAACATCTATGAATTAAACAAAACACAACTCCGGGTATGATCTGATGAGGAAACATTATTACACACTATATCAGAAAATAGTGTAATATAGGCACTTGAATTTATGTCAGATGGCCTATGTCAAATATTTAACTACGTTCTCATATGTCTTTTTCATATGTTGTGTGGTCCACTTTTTTTTGGAGGGTGGGCTCACAGTTGGAGACAGATTGGAAGATGGGAGTTGGCTTGATGTGTTCACAGGACTCATGTAATTTCACAGTGAGATTAGTGATGGATGCCATGTTATGAGCCAGGGTTTAGCTGTAACTCATTATTGAACTTTTTTTAAGCACTGTGAGCATTTGGCTGTTCATGTGCTGAAACTACGCGGAGGTCTCGATGGGGTTCAGCTAGTACAAGCATATTTGGCAGGAAACAAGGGTTAGGGCAGGATGTTGCTCTACAGGTCATCAAAAGCAGAGAGCTATACATTATTACAAAAGTAAAATTTAGGCTATATTATATATGTCTTCACTCATGATACTATAGCTACTAGATTTAAAATGTGTTCAATCACTTAAATATTTTGCACACCGCAATCGCAATATAGAGACATAACTCCCATAGCTCAATATTAATTACATGATGTGGCCATCTGTGTAGACAAGTATTAAAATTATTTATGCCTATCCTCAGGAATTACATTGCTAAACAACCAAGGATTTCCTAGAGAGATTAAATTGATGTTTGAGTTTTAAATCTTATGTCTTTCTGATGTGAAGATGATGTAACCACCTGAAATGCCAACTCAATGTGGCGTCATTGTTCTCAGCACTGTAAAGCCTTCAGTTATGAAACCATATTGGAGTTGTACAATGACAGTTCAGTTTTATACATATTAAAGACTGGAATCTGTTGTGTGTGAGGAGGAAATTGTGGTACTTAAATAATAGCAGTTTGGTTGCAGTTTCTATAGCAGTAGCAGTTGTAGGTTGGTAATTACAACCAACCAAATTGCAATTTTGATTCAATTGCCTTTTTTTTTTTTTTCAATATTCCTACTTAGTATCTTAAGTTTTTTTGTTCTTTATCCTGATTTCACAATTCTGCTCCTTGGTCTTTGTTGATTGTTGCTAGGGGCTTTATTTGCTCACAGGGAAGACTTTCTTTTGAGTATTGAAACAGAGCAGTGATACATTTCTGCTTTGTACGTAGACAGTGGTGAACCTGTCAATCACAACACAAGGCCAAATGCCACAGATCTTGGTTGACGTATAATAAGTATGTTATGTGAGATATTTAAGCTTCTTTGGGTTTTCAATTCTTTTTCTTACCTTTCTCTTGTGTGTGGTTTTTCATCAGTCAGTTTCACTACACTCTCTTCAGTAAAAAGCATTGTTGTAATCTGAGATGTGAGGGTGTGTCTAATCATTTCCTCCACTATGATTCATCAAACATCCAGCATTTGTTGTTATTAGGGAGTTTTTCTTAGTTATATCTCCGTGGATGCATCAACAACATAATGGCAATTCTTAGATTGCACTGTAATTAATTTCAGTTATTTAGTTAAAGCCTGGAGGAAGCCTTTCTCCAGGCCAATTAAAAGTCAGACTTGTGGAGAAGTAAGCCCGCTCACTATAAGAACACACAATTTTCTACGCAATTAAAACATCCATAATGGAAAAACATTTATTTGATGTCACTTTTTTGTCTTTTTTGTATGATGGCCTTAATATGACATAAATAGCCAATAATTTTTATCAAGTTAATGTTTAATTGCAATTTAGTACTAAAATGTTCGTGTCACAGTATTTTTTTTTTTATCTTAATTTATGTTGCAATTAATAATTAATTAATATTTCCTTACGATTGTCTTTTAACTGGTCTGATGCACTCCACATTTTCAAAATCTGACTCAAATTGTTGCAACCAAGCATACAAGTATAGTGTCTAAACTGTAGACTTCTATCCCCCCGACGCCAGTTATTTCACCATACTGTTTGTATTGCGTAAATAGTGTCTATCTGTGTTTGAATTGGCCTAAGCCCTACTTCCTGTTTATAATTTCACTACTCTCTATAGATGCATCCATCACAGAGGACAGTAAATTTCAGTATAGTTGAGTTCAGTGTAAGTAATTTATGTTTGTGGATTATAGTCAGCTGTTTCAACAATTGGACAAAGCCAAGAAGGACATATTAGCAAAGACGGGCTGGTTCAACAGCCTTCATTTCTTCAGGCTTCTCTTTCCACTGTGTCCCGTTCATTGGCTCTAAGTACAAATGATTCCCCATTGAGGCTTTGTGTTAGCGAAGCAGCTCTCTGAGTTGGAAGGGAGCATTGGTGTCTATAGCGACAAATTTGTAAGGAAAAAGTGGAGGAAATAATGGACAAGCCATAGCGTCAGAGGCTCCTGGGTCTTTTAGGGAACGACCCTCTGGTCAGTGTGGCCCTCCCACAGAATGAAGACAGAAGAAAGATTTCAGATCCAACTTAGTCTTTGTCAGTAATTTATATTAGGGCTGCACAAGGTAAGAGTTTAAACATTTCAATGACATGTCACCACAGTACTTAAAAAATCATTTATTCATTTAAATTGAGCGATTTATAGCCAGTCCTCTTTAAAAATCTTATTGAATATTCTATGACATATTTTTCAACTCATGTCCTTATCTCCATTTAGTGCTTCATAAGCATATTTGTGATATACCTAATAAAAGGAGTTTCTAAGCACTTACATTTAGCAGAGACTGAAATGAAAGCAAGTAAATTGTAATTTGCATTTGTAACTGGATGTCAGTTCAGAGTTAGAAATTTAGATCTTAAGTAGGCCAGTTAGTGGGTTAAATGTTTTCAGTGGCTCATTGAATGTCCCATGCATTTTGTTCTTGTGCTGTATGTGGTTGAAAGAGGAGCTGGCCACAAAGCAGACACGATGACCACCTGTCGGCTTGTTGGTGTGTGCTGTAGCGGAGTGGACGAGCGCGCCCTCGAGTGGTGTAGGGTCACTGGATTACCATGGATACTCTTTTTGTATCCGTGTGTGGTGGAATTCTTTTGGACACCCCATTGGCCCCTGTCTCCCCTCCCTTCTATCCGTTCTACCGAGTTTGCACTTGGGCCCCTCGCTGTGTGCTGTCCTCCAGTGTAACACCCCCTAACTAATGAAATCTAAACACCCTCTCGTCCTAAATGGCTCTGTTTTTTCTCGCGTACTTGCAGTGTGATGCGGTTAATTAAATGTCCATTGAGAGAAACATGTGGGCGCTGCTGAGACAAAGCAAATGGATTATCCTGTTAAGCTGCGTTTGCTCTGAGTTCAAATTGTCAATGTTTTTTGTCATGAATGTATTCAAATCATTCACATTTGTATTAGCATGAAGCATATTACACAAAAGTAAATTTCCCAATGGGTAGGAAATTCAATTGAATTTGTCAGGGTTATGAAGAATCAAAGCCTTTATTGTGCGTTTGATCCCACTCCAATCCGTACTCCAGTGTGTTACTGACGGCATCAAAGCTTTCTTTGTGTGTTGTCGTTTACCATCAGCACATCCCTTCTCCTTCTGATGCCTGTCCTGTCCACAGTAGCCTATTGCTATAGCCTTGACCCATTTACAGTTGCCTCTGCTGTATCTCTGATGGAGCTTGACTTGATAATGGCTGTGGTCCCTAAGACTGTAACATGCCACACATTACTGGCACTTAGAGCACTGCACCACATTTCACACTGGCTTTACTTCATCAGAGCACACTTTACTGCACCACATGCTTCTGACTGAGGCCAATAATAAAGCCACACACACTACTCAAAATAAATAAAATAAGATTTATCTTAAGTTGGCTGGGAATGGAACCTTGTTATCACTTTATCCATGGCCCTGTGCAGCTGCCTCAGCTCTCATGCAGTTTGATGCAGCATATGTCTAGCTAAGACATTAGGGAACAGTGGTCAGGACCTCCACTGCTCTCACCTCCCACCACAGAGGTTGGGCTCTCCGGACATGGGTAGGTGTCTCTGGAAAACTTTGAAATATTGAACCATATAATTATCCTTTGTCCTGTAAATAGAACTCAAACCTATATTTTGGGACCTATATACTTCTTTCTGAGAACTAAGCAAATGAAACGTAGTGCAGTCCACTGTCCTAAGATCTGTTTCTTGAGTTCCTTTTTCTTTCTAAATCTGTCACAGTTAGACTCAGGCCATGTCTACTTCCTATAATTGTGTCTGGAAAATCGCAGCCACATTTAACAAAACTTAAACAGATTATTAGAGGGACAGTTTATTTAGTTACATTGCCTCACTTGGCTTGACCCAGAAGGTAAATGTAAATAAATTAGATTTGTTTCACAAAGCTTTAGTGTGGATGTCGAAAGATCAATTTGAATAGGGATAAGTGCATGTTTAAAAGACAACTGTGCTGATTCAGTACTAGCTTTTAATACTATACACTATACTGCAGGTTGACTGAAGACATGATCTTGGCTTTGATTAATTCACCTAAATCATGTGTATGGTTGCACTGGCAAAAGCTCTCATATTACTAGGACTCCTCCAAAAATGTAAAGTACAAAGAGAAATACTAATGAATCTTTGTAATCCCCATAAAATTATTTGTTGACAGTGACTAATAAAAAAATCATCAGCAACCCCACTATACTCATCATATGTCCTCTGTCTATTTTTGTGTTTAGCTGGCCTGCTGCTGTGGCTCTGCTGCCTGCTCTTGTTGCTGTAAATGCTGCCCCAACATCAAACAGTCCACAGGGACTCGCTTCATGTACGCGCTCTACTTCCTGCTGGTCACCGTCATATGCGTCGTCATGATGACACCCACTGTGGAGGAAGCCCTTAAAAGCCACGTAAGTATATAATATGTCAAATACCACACCACAGTGTTGTGGAAAGTTTTGTAGTACAATTGATTTGAGAATAAAATAAGTGGTCTAAAGTCCAAAAGTTATCTTTGTGGTGGTTTTAATCTTAAATATAGCACCGAAGGAACAAAGCTTGTTCCATGAAGCCCAAGTTGGGGTGCTCCCAGACTTGAAAAATGCCAAGGTTGCATAACAGATACAAGTGAATGCATCAGCAGTGCAGCAGTAACTATTGTATTGCATTGTCAATAGAATAACAGTATATGATGTGTCTAAAGAATGTGTTTTTCCATTTCAACAGTTATGTGTGCTTTACTTACAGTATAAAGTATATGATCTCAAGCCTAGATTTTTAAGTTTGTAGGACTGTGTCAAAAGCTCTCAAAATTATAGGATCGTGGATTTAAGTTTATTTTACTAGATAATTCCCAGTCTTTAGTATACTAGGCCTGTCATGATAACAAATTATGAAGTACGAGAATATAGGCTGTATTCAACCTTCCACAGCTCAAATCTGACCATAGTACAGAAAAATATCAAACAGTTCCTGTTCCTGTCCCCTCAATAAATATGTATTTTTCCATTTAACATATATTGAACAATAAGTCAATATAGTAATTATCATGACATGACTAGGTGATACACAAAAACATGTCAGGAGAAAAATCTAAGGACAAATTGTGTGACATTCAAGTGCAAGACTTTGCAACCATCTTCTTCGTTGATAATATAATGGTTTAATACAATATATGATATAATGATTTAATACAATATCTGAACGTGAGTGGAGGTTCACCCAGGCACAAAAGTCCTGACACATTGCTGCAGAGTTGCGCACATATACTGGACCCAGTGGGACGCCTAGGCTAAAAGAGCAGTCATTGTGTGTCTGAGAGCATTGGTCTTTTCTGGAGAGATTTACAGCAGCTGGCCCCTTTCCTTCTTAATCACAACCCATGGACATGCTAATATGGCCCTCTACATGAGACAAAGGCTCAAAAACAAGCTTTTTACTCCATGTTCTGATCTGCACTAGCCCGTACTACACATGCTACGGTGACGAAAACTGAATCCGTTTGGCTTGTCACATCAGCAGGATCTGGACTGAAAAAGTACATGACATCATTATATACCTATTTACACCTATACTCAATATTCAATAACAAGAGAGAAGACAAGAGATTAATATCTTTTACACGCGTGGAGGGAGTACCGAGAGAAGAACTTTAGTTACATGTAACTTGCTGTTCACTCAATACCCTCTAAAGTCTCCTCTCGTTTCTCCACGCCTTTTATTCAGTATTAGGAGCCCTAGTTACATGGGAACTACTCATCTCAGAACGGGAGGGGGAACATTACAACATGAGTAGTTCCTTTTTGCTTACATACCCATTATATTTTCAAAACACAAAAATAACACTTCAGTACAGTGTGTTCAGGACAGAGTTAGGGTCAGTCTGCCCTTCCTCATTTCATCTTCCTTAGTTTATCTTCCTTAAGCAATGGTCGCCCAAGATATTTCCTGTTATTGAGTAGATATGACTTTATGACCTTCTGCAACTCATGAAATCATTACATACACAGTGAGATTAATATAAATGTTGAATCCATCACACATCATTATACATCATACATCATTATAGTTATGCTGATGGTTATGTGGTTAACATTGTCACTTGCACCGTGCCGCTGAACCACTTGTGGTGTTTTCATGAAGCTCGCAACAACTCTCTGAAATCCTTTGTTTCTGCTGTTGTGTTTGGACATGGCCGAATCTTCTCTGTACCTCATGTTGGACTTGCTCACAAAAGGCAGTTAATTTATTCATCTGTGCTTTTGTTTGTGTACACTGACAGTCAGTTGTAAGGCCCCTTGAACAGCCTGTAGAGAAGAGTTCAAAAGTGCCTGTGGTCAGTGTCTGTTTCCTCTTTTCTCTCCTTTTAAAGCCTTGATGCTCAGCACAGGGTCTAAAAAATGTGAAATACTTCTTAACACAGTGTTTAATACTAACTGATCTTTTAAATATTTGAAATCTCTTTTCCAGATCCCATTTTACAGTGAACTGTGTGAAAAGCTGAATGCGGGTGAGAACTGCCAGACCCTGGTTGGTTATTCGGCAGTTTACAAGATGTGCTTTGGAATGGCCTGCTTCTTCTTATTTTTTGCCCTCTTCACCATACGTGTAAACAACAGCACTGGATGCCGGGCAGCTATACATAACGGGTAAATCACATTAAATATATTGTGCCTAAATACCTTAAATTGTGAACTTACGTATTCAGTGTAGATGCAATTTTGTCCTTATTTTGATGTCAGATTTTGGCTGATTAAGTTCATTGTGCTGGTGCTTTGCTGCACTGGAGCCTTCTTCATCCCTGAACAGGAAACCTTTCTGGAAGGTAAACATAAAGCTCTTTCCTACAGTGACTATTGGATAGTAATTAGACATAAAAACAAAAAAAACAGATTTTACTGTCCAGTTACAACATACTTTAGACATATTTGGGGAAATGTAATGATGATTCTTAACACGTATGCATTTAATTGTGTTTCTTTACTTAGTGTGGCGCTATGTGGGAGCAGGTGGAGGTGCTATTTTCCTTCTCATCCAGCTCATGTTATTGGTCGAGTTTGCACACAGGTGGAACACAAACTGGTGAGCACAGTCATATTGTTACTTTGTCCTTATTTTAGCTCTTTCCACATCAAAACATGTTTTTTAAATTTACTTCATTTATCTGCTATTGTGAGGGGGATCATCTCAAAGACTTTGTATTTCAAGCAGACTGGAAGGAGTTAGTCATGTTGTTTTCTCATGGAAAAAGGAATCTTGGCAGTGGGCCTATTCTGTGTAGCTTCACAGGATAAGGATGGTGTGCACACTGTTTCCGCCTTTCCAAATGAATCTACTGTGAACATGTGTAGAGGGATAGGCACTAGTGTGGATGTCGGTGAAAGAAAAACATTTTCCACACTCTCAGATGAAATCATTAAACCTGTCATTAAGTCTTCAATACTGCAATGGCAGTAGTTCCTCTCAATTTTTTTTTTTTTACTTTTAATTTTCCCCTATATGTTTTTGATTTGTGTCCCTGTCCCCTTTTTTTTTTTTAGGAGTTCTGGGGTGAAGTACAATCGTTTGTGGTACGCAGCCTTGGCCTTCGTGACTCTGATGCTGTTCACTGTAGCAGTAGGAGCTGTGGTTTTCCTCTGGCTCTTCTATACTCAACATCAGGCCTGTCTGCTCAACAGAATCTTTTTATGCATCAATGGAAGTCTTTGCTTCATTGTCTCTATGTTGGCCATATCACCGTGCATACAGAAATGTAAGGGAAACTTTGCTTCATTAATTACAGAGACTTTACATTTCATTATTTTAATGTTTTTTTTTACAGTGCAACCTACGTCAGGCCTTCTGCAGCCAGGGGTGATCAGTGTGTATGTGATGTACCTCACTTTCTCAGCCTTCTCCAGCAAACCACCAGAAAGTAAGTACACTGTTCAGTCATATACTAAGAGCTATTTTAGGTTTTTTAGGTTTCAGTGTGGTTCAGCCAAAACTATCTCTTTCTTCTTACACAACTCCCACTATTTTCACATTAATCTGAGGTGTCTCATTCTCTTGTCTCTGCAGTCCTGGAGATTGATGGGAGAAATCAAACAGTGTGTGTGTTTGGATTCTCTGAATCTAAGAGTGAGAGGAAGATTGTCACTGGGATTGGAACGGTGATTCTGTTTGCCTGTGTGCTGTACTCATGGTAAAACACAATGCTGTAGTATTTGTACTACTTTGCTTATTTAAATACGTTTCTGAATTTTGGTTGTGTCATTTAGCTGCACGCATTTCTCATTATAAATACTTTAATACTGAGTACTAAGTTGTTTTACATTATCATGCAGCATTAAATAATTACTCAAATTTATTGGCAAATGAATATCCAAATCTCTCGATACAATATATTTTCTATATGGAAGGTAAATGGTCACATTTTATAGAGCTCTTTTTGGCCTTCAAGGCAGTCAAAGCACTTTACAACAAGGAACCACTCACCCATTCACACACATATTTATACACCAGAGTATGCAGACACTGGGAGCAAGGTGGGTTAAGTGTCTTGCCCAAGGACACAACAATAGCACTCATCCATGGGAGCTGGAATCACACCACCAACATGTGGGTCAGTGGATCTGACTGTTCAGCCAATTAGAGCAGGATTGCCAACCTTCAGATCAGTGGACAAACGCTCTATCAACTGAGATACTGCCGACCATTATGATATTTTGTGGAGGCTAACAAATAGTGAATCTGCTACTTTTTCTTTTTTAAATGTCTTGACCATGATCTAATTAAATAACATTTGAAAGTGCTTATGTACAGTTATTTTTTCATGTTGTCTGTACTATAACAGAGCAAAGCACTATGGTCTATGTAGTTCCCTCTGTTTTTTATTTTTTTAAATAATGCTGCACTACAACAGTGATGTTAAGCAAAGAGACTTGTAAGTTGATATATTGTGATGGTCCACAATATTGTGAGACCTTTGACAATATGATATTACGATATTTCGGTTATTGTTTGCATCTCTTCTACCCTGTGATCTAACCACTAGTGCAGGGGTGTCAAACTCATTTTGGTCTGGGGGCCGTTTCCAGCCTACTTTGATCCCAAAGGGGCCGGATCAGAAAACTCATGGCATATAAACCCCAAAAATAGAAATAAGTTCAAATATTTGCGCAGAGAAACGCAAATCTATTGCAGAAATCTTTCTTAATTGATGAACTCTTTTTTTTTTTTTTTTACAAAATATTATAATATTATGAAAACCTGAAACTTGCAAATGCAATTTCAACACAATGTTTTAACTTGTATGCAAATAGGAATAAGTCAATTTTTCTTGGAAAATCCTGCACTTGGCTCCACTTTCCTCATTTTTGACATTTTGCTGATGAGGTCCTTTAAGAGCATTTGGAAAGAGGCAAGTCTTCATTTGTGCTGCTCTGGTGGGAGGCAGCCATGCACAGAGGCGCTGGAGACGCTGCTATGTTAAGCGGCGTAGAAAATTACCAATATTTTAATAGAAAATATAATTAAAATATTTTAGAAGAAAATCAGCCGAGGGCCAGATTAAAGGTCTTGGAGGGCCGGATCCAGCCCCCAGGCCTTATGTTTGACACCTGTGCACTAGTGGTATATGAGCGGTTGCTCTCTCACTGAGCCACTGCTCTCTCTACTGATATGTATATCACATCTTGGGTAGTTTTCAAATGGAAACAAATGCATCTTTTTGAGCTTTGTGAAACCACTAATTACTGGAAATAATGACCTAACTTTTATTTCCTGTTCTGATATTTTTCCACCTCCAACTCCTTGTCTTTAGTTTGACATCCACCACCAAGAGAAGCTCTGCTGCGCTGCGAGTGTACAGAAATAGTGAGCCAGAGAGTGAGGTAATCCGATACAATATTCAGATCTAAATGAAACAATTAAAAAGACCATTATAAAAAGCATGCATTTGTTTTTCTTTTACTATTTCAGAGAGCCCGTTGCTGTTTCTGTTTAGGAGATGACACTGGTGAGCAAAGTCAGAGCATTCTACTTTGAGCACATTTAGTTGTTATTGACTTCAAGTGCGTTTGCTATAATAAACTGGCAGTCCTCATGTTGGCACGCAAGACTATGCTCATTGCTATTCCTTGGCCTGATGGAGGATAGTGAGAAAGTATTGGTCAGCAAACGCAGATGATGTCACTGTTACTATGTGAACAGTGGGACAGTGAAGCCATGCCAGATGTTTAGTGCAGTTTAGAGAAGGCCCACACCGCCCCCTGTTGGAAAGAAATTGAACTATGTTAGCAAGATAAATATGTATATTTTCTCTCACAGATGAGTTTGATGAGGAAAAGACCGGTTCAGGACAGAATGTGATGTACGATGAGCGTGAAGGGACAATCTACAGCTACTCCTACTTCCACTTTGTCTTTTTCCTCGGCTCTCTGTATGTTATGATGACAGCCACCAACTGGTTTCAGTAAGTGTTTTGTATATATTAACAACACACAGTTGATCTTGGAATATTATTTTGAGTATTAAAAAACAAGGAACTGCTATGTAAAAATTGTGTTAATTCATATATAAAGTAACTGCAGAGATTCTCATTGCTTTCAGTTTTGCTGAACAATATCTTTCCCCCACTAAATGAATGATAATAAAACCATATAGGAGTTTTGTTGAATGAGTTAGGTCAAGTTTATTATTTATTGTAAACAACACATTTGTGTTATCTGATTATTTAATAAAACAATATAGTGGACTTTTTTTTTTATTATTAATTTGTAGACCAATGCAAAACATAAGTGTTTAATAGCATGTTATATAAGTTATATAAATAAGTGTTACTGTTACAGTTCCATACCACAGACTCAGAAAATGTTAGCGTATAGTTATTTGCGCTTGTTACTTTTTTACTATTTTATATTTGTGAAGTTAAGGTACTATATTTTGCACCTTCATTGTTCATTGCATGTCTTACTTATTTTGTAGCTACGATGGGCACAAGACTGAGAAGCTTCTGGACGGTAGCTTGTCTGTGTTCTGGATAAAGATAGTGTCGAGCTGGGTCTGTCTGCTCCTCTACATGGGAACCCTCATAGCTCCAATGCTCTGCCCAAAACGCTTTGAAGCCTAGGACCTAGTTCTCAGTCTGGGATCACCCTGATTCTCCCATCTCCAGACTATAGGTTTCAGCCTGAACCACAAAGAGACCACTGCAACTGAAACTTCAACCTACCTTAAAACACAACCCCACACTACCCTCAGTGTTGCAAGTGGACTGTTGCCTTTGATTCTTAAACTAGTATTTGCTATGTGAAGCTAATACCTTGATGGTTATTTCTGCCTATTTTTATTACAACTGACTTAAAGTTTTTGTTACATTCATTCATTGTTACATACAAAGACTCTAGATCTTTGTTATATTTTTTGTACCCTTTTTCTTGGTTTGTATTGTTCATCATGTGTTTTTTATAAAACAGACATCTCAAACTTCATCAAACCATTGTTTTTACATGTAAAAACAAAAGACCTTAAGAGGTATTTGAGTGTCTTTATGTACCACTTTGTGAAGCAAACTCATTCAGTAATAATTGGATGTTGTTCAAGTTGTTTAAGCTCAGGTTAATCTAAACCTGTATTTGTTTATGCTTTGTTATATTGTGCCCTTTTGTAGATGTTTTCTATGCAAAGCTTTTTATATTAGAAAACCTGTGTTGTGAATATCTTTTTGGATTTACCTGTGCTCCCTTAGAGCCTAATCTTTTTGAAGGGATGTCCTCACGACCTGTACACTTTGTGGTCAGCTGTTTTAGGCAGTGCTTTTTTAGATCTGTCAAAGCTGCACTAACACAGTATCATCTTTTACCAAAGTACAGGTTAAAAAAATCAAGTCTAACATGTTCTAAACAGATAAGATCATAAGTTTTCATGCAGTGTCAACAGCCTTTTGCCTTTACTGTGTTACGTGTGGCTTTTACAGGTAGTACTCATGTAGCAAGAGTGTTTGTATTTTAAATTATTCAACACTGGATGTTGAGTTTACTGCCAAAATTGAATTTAGACATTCATATATTCACAAGTTATACATTTTATTGTATTGTGTATATATTTTGCAAGCTTCTAATTTGACTGACTTACCCTTGCTGATAGACTTTATTTTAAGTTATTTGTAGATTTCAGTCATAATTAAAATAAGTGTACATTATAACTGAAAATACATTCATGTAATCAATAGTTTAATCTCAATGAATGTAGAAACTGTGGTGCTCTATATAATACAGCCATACGCTAGGTCAAAGATGTGTTTACCAAATATTGTACCTGTTCCCATGTTCATTTTAATAATAAAATAATCAAGAACAGTTTTGTATTTGATCAGTAATGATAAAGAGGTGATTATGCTTATACACAAATGGTCTTTTAGAAAATATTAATGAGCATTTATTGAACACAATGTATTTTTAATATTTAGCAGAAATGTAAAACTTGAGTTGAGACTAATGGAAAGAAATGTGTGCTAGTGTATTAGTTAATCCGAGCAAAAAGTAATAGTAGAAATACCAAGATAATGCTCTTTGATACATGTGATACAGCTTTCATGTTGTCTCAAATCCCTTATTTTCAGTTTGATGCTTGAAAATGTTGTAGTGACCTCACTGTGTATTTTGACCATGGAGATCCTGGTAATCTGTAGGAATTGTGTCTATCGAAAATATAAAAAACATGGTTATGCCTTACTCTATATAATAATATTCGTCTGAATATCAGACACTTACCATTGCAGCGATACTTCAGATTAGACCAGATGATGTTTTCCTGAGAGAAACAAAACACTCCCAGTCTGCCTCCTCTCATGCTCGTGTCAATGATGACTCCTGTGTCCGCAACCAGGTCTGAACCCTCATAGAACCGAGCCCTGAGACCAAACATTAAAATTAAATGTATTACCCTGATCGTGTTATTTTTATTCTTGTTATAACTTTTGTTTTTAATTTGATCACATATTTACATATTGATGACTTTTTTCAACAAATATAATACTGATAAAAGTATGTAGTATTCATATCTTGAGGTGACAGTGGCTCAGTGGTTAGAGCAGTGTTCTGATTTGATTGATTCTCACTTGGACCAAGTTTTGTTGATGTGTCCTTAGGCAGGACACTTCCCTGACATTGCCTAGTATGAAAATGGTATGTGCCTGAATAAATGGTGATGATCTTATCTAGCAGTGCCAGGGGCTCAAAGTCAAAACAATGTTTTCATGGTCAAGGAAATTTGGCATGAAATACTTTTTAATTAATAGGCTTTAATGGGACTGAACTGGATTTGTTAAGCGCGAACTGGAATAAAAATAAATACGCAGCACCCCCTGGTGGGCCAAATTTAAGTCTCTGGGGACTAAGTTAACTAAGTAACTCTAGACACCCCTTGTCTAGAGTTTTTTATGTTAAATCAAATCAAAATTGTATATACAGTATATATAAAACAGCCACACTTTACTAAATTGCGATCATTACCAAAGTGCTTAATGACAAAAAATAATGCTACAACAAAGAGTTTAAAGAATAAAGGTGGTTTAGTATACCTGATATATCCAACTTGTGGTCTGTGCTGCAGGAACCAACGGTAGGAAACCTTGTCTTTCCAGCCCACATTCCTGGGGTCTTTCCACAGCAGCCGGACCTGGTCAGCAGTGTGCCCCGTGTGCCACAGTGAGTTCCTCAAATACTCACCTGGGCCTGTCTTGGACTTCACCACCTGTGTTTAACATGTATAGAAATAACTGCTGTTAGGGCCTCAGAAAGCCTGTTATCACACAAACTTTGCAGATAAATTCTCTCACTTTGCTGATTTAGTGTTTAATCAAAGCACAAAAATGTCAAACTTGATTTCGAGATTAAGGAAAAAGCTCAGTACTGATTTTGATACCACAATAATGATTAAAGCTACTTATTCTTTTTGACAATATAAGGACTTTTCAACCCAAAACAACAGTGTCTTTCATATTATCATTGGGAATTACATTGGATCTAACATAGATTATGATGACTTAAAACAATTTAGAAAAGGTTCAATTTTGTCCTATTTATTATATGATTATTTTTAATATTGATACTTGAACTTAGCATAAAATTTAGATACTAGTTTTAGTATAACATTGTATCAGTGTATCATGTTTAAGACCAACCGAACTTTCACATTGTATCCAGGTTTAGCAAATGCAGAACCATAACTGGCAAACAAACTTGTGACCATATTTTAATAGATCAATGCTTGTGACACACCTTTAGCTGTATTCCTGGTTCAGCAACAGCTCTGAAGGGAGCAGCTTGCCAGTAGGTTTGTTCAGTCTGTTTCCACATCACCACATAGAAGGAAGAGGAGTCCTGATACCCAAAGATGAAGCCGGCGTAATCATCATCTGTCACTGTATTTACATGGAATGTTCCCTCAAAGTCCACTCCACTGAAAGCTGTATAACCTGCAACAACACATAAGACATAACATATAATAAGTGCATTATGAAGACAGCTGCGTACTAATTCAACACACTCAATAATCCCATAACCCCACTACCCACCAACAGCAAGGCCAGGGTCAGAGTTCATGGTTTGAACAATCTCCATTCCCTTTAAAGAAACACAAAGAATTTCAAAAATGTTTAAATGAATTAAGTTGAAGCTTATCTTATACATTTGCCACACATCATTGATAAAATAAAGAGCTCATGTAAGGTGTCCATTGAAATGTTACTGCTTTGTATAAAACGTTCCACAATATGGCATTACACTTCAGGCCTACACTGTTCACAACAGGAATGCATATATTTAGATGCATTATATTTTTAAATTACTTAGTTATAAAAAGTTATAAAAAGTTATTTTAAAAAAGCATGGTAAATTATTTAAATGCCATATTGTGAAGCATTAAAGACAAAGTAATAACATGGAGATAAGTTGGAAGCACACATCAAACAATAAAAGTTACATAGTGTGCCTTTAAGCCTGTTCTTAATGATGATTGGCTGAGATAGGAAAAAACACAACTATATCTGTTGAAATTATCTCACACAAAATGAAAATCATTTTACTCTTCATTATTCTAGTCTGTGTGTAGTGTGTATTAGATAAAAAGTCAGGACTAATTGATCTGCTGTGACTATTGATCACCTGGTTAAGGACAACCCAGTTGGGGTCAATCTGGGAGTCACCCTCTGGATCCAACACAACCGTCTGATAGGCCCTGAAGTCTGTTAGGGTCACCTCAGCATTCTCTGGGCAGTGGTCAATCTTATCAATAACATCATCTTTGTCAAAATCTCCCTGACATGCATCTCCCACTCCATCATCTGAAACACACAGTAGAAGACTATACACAAATGCAACAGAACTAGAGCAGACAATGTTAGACAAAAGGGAGGACCCGTACTGTCTGTGTCCCGCTGATCAGAGTTAGGCACTAATCTGCAGTTGTCATCTTCATCTACAATACCATCATTGTCATCATCATCATCACATTCGTCTCCCTGGAAACAAAAAGAACAAAACTCTTTAAAGTGCACATGGAGTCAGCAAATGTGATTTATGTATTTATCTAACAGTAGATCCAAACCATTCCATCTTTGTCAGTGTCAAGTTGGTTTGAGTTAATGATGCTGGGACAGTTGTCCTTTGAGTCCTGGTGACCATCTCCATCACTAAAGAAAAGAGACATTTTAAACAACCCATAATATGCTAAACATACTTTTTGAGTTGTTTAAATGTTGTTTCTCCATAAAAATCTAATTTTTGTTTTGTTTCATTCATGTACTGTGTAATGTTACATATTCTCATTCTCAAAAGCTCTTTTGCTCTTCTGTGTCTCTCTTCCATTTGTATGCTCAGGTCAGTGCTTAATTAATTTAGCCAGCCATACCGGCTTGTCAAAGCCTGATCTTGTCAGATCTCAGAAGCTAAGCAAGGCTGGGCCTGGGTAGCACTTGGATGGGAGACCACTGGGAATTCCAGGTGAGACAGGGGGGTGCCAGTGGCAAAAACTGTTGCTGTGTCCTTAGGCAAGAAACTTCACCCACATTGCCTAGTATGAGAGTGATGGTTGTGGTTGGAGGGGCTGATGGCGCAGATTGGCAGCCTCCTTCTGTTAGTCTGCCCCAGGGCAGCTGTGGCTACAGAAGTAGCTTACCACCGTTGAGTGAATGAATAATGAACTGTAAAACACTTTGAGTATCTTGAAAGGTGCTATATAAATGCAATGATTCATTCATTCATTCATTCATTTAAAACTATAAGGCTTTACTAAAGATATTGTGTCAAAATATAGGTGAACACATATGTATACATACATGACATTTAAAAGGTATGAGAAGGCAATACCTGTCTATGTTGTCATCACAGCTATCTCCAATGAGGTCATCGTCTGAGTCGGACTAAGGGACACAGTGAGTTATTGAAGACAAAACTGCTACATTTATAGATATTATTTAAAATGTTATTTGTAGTGACCTGGTTGGGGTTGAACATATCTGGACAGCTGTCACAGGCATCGCCCACTCTGTCTCTGTCTTTGTCCCTCTGGTCTGGGTTGGGGACTCGTGGGCAGTTGTCAACATTGTTCTTTAAACCTAAGAAAATACATTTACAGTAAGTTGCATTGAAACAATTGTCAAGAAATGCACAGAGACTGAATGAAAAAATGGCGCTCAGCTGCAGTCAAATGCATCACCAGATGGCAGTGTTTGTGAAAGGTGAAATAGTTTCCAGAAGCAGTTAGGGTCTGGCAGAAAAATCCAATGGAAAAAATCTAATTTAGAAACAAGACAGACATGACCAAGGACTAAGACATCCAGCTCCGGGTAAAACACGTAAGACAATTTGTAAACATTCAACATGTGCAGAAATAGCGTGAATGAATGTGAAAACGCAATAATAAGGATTTATGTGGAACAGAAGCAATTTGGAAAGGGCAACCTGACATTTACAGCTAATTCCATGTGATGTGGAAATTTCCACAACATTTAACTTCTTATAATTATTCCATGGGTGTTCCTGAAAACCACAACTACTTAAAATGAAAACAACTGAAAAAGAGTACTATGGCTTTTAATACAACTCAAATTAAGAGAGTTTTGCCAAGAGCCTCAAGTCTAGCTATTGAATTTGGCTAAAATACAATTGGCTTAATTGGCTTAATTGACTATTTACTTTTATAATGTGTTACTTAAAAGCTTTAAAGTTTTGAATGATGTAATGCAGCAGAAAACCATTTAAACACACACATTTTAACACTTAAACACCGACTATCTCCAGTTTAAACACAGAGATAAATATATTGGTGCTAATATCAAGTGACATCCGATGTCAGT